CGCGTCTTTTGGGGTGGGTCCGAAGAGGTGACGTGTTCCTTGCCGCATGGCAAGTCACACGGTGAAGACGGTTCGTCAAAACCATTTATAAGTGAATGAGAACTTAACATATGTTTTGTATAGCCTTAGTTCATCCTAGCTTGTTAGCTTTGAAGGCCTAAGTCGCATGATTACATTACTTGGCTCATTTTTATGATTTGGCATCATTTCACATGAGATTTCAGTCCATATAATGTGGCCATGCATTCACATTGATAACATTTTCCATGCATTAGAAGGTTTGTGCTTTATGCTTCAAGATTGGACCATTGTGCATGCCTCTATGCTTAGACCATTTAGATACCATCTAAGTGGGTTTTTGAGTTTGTTTCAACATGCCATGACTCTGTTTTCCATTGCTTAAATCATGCCATGTTTGGTTCTGTTAGGCGTAGTATAACACCTTTTTGATAGCATTGCATGCCCCATTGTTTTGGCATTGTATTCTAGCTTGTTTTGGCTAGCTTGGAGCTCACTTTTGGTCTTGCTTAGACCTGCCTCGGGACTTTTCTAGGTCCCCTTGGCCCTTTGGGGCTTGCTTCACATAGCCATGGCTTGAGCCCCTTGGCTAGTCTCAATTTTTAGGCTCCTTTGTATGCTTTACTTACATGGCTTGGTTGATTTGGCATCATCCCTTGCATATTTTCAGAGCTTATCATGCTTGTTCTTTGTCTACATTTGTCTCTTTTAAATGTGCTTAAGAGTCGACTTTTTTGTGCCTAAGTGTTGGACCTTTACATGCACATGTTTGGGTGTGTTTTGTCCATCATTTCTTGGCACTTTGGCCACTGTTTTGGTACGGCTGAGGTCCATCCATCTTTAGTGTAAGTCCATGGATCATGCGTTTGTGTATTTGTTATATGCTTATCACATTGCATGTTGTTGCATCCTTATGATTGGTATCTTTGTTGCATGCCTATCACTTTGCATGTTTGTACACCTAGGTTGCACCTTGCATGCTTGTTAGTTTGCATCTGGCCACATGTTAACTTAGGTTGCATTGCATTTGGCATGTTTGCTACCTTAACCTCGTGTGCATGTCGGGTCATATTACATTTGGCATGCTTACGTTGCGTTATATTGGTTGAATGTTTTGCATTGTATTTGGCATACATACATTGCATTTTGTTTGGTTTGGGGTGTCAAACCAAACATGAGGGCCGAGGGACGTTTCGTACTTTAAGTGACGAAACGTCCCCCAACCCTTAGTCACCGACGTTCTTGATCAAGCATGATAGAGTTCTAGGCATTCATGTGTTTTGTTGCATTCATTCCAAATTGATTTGCACTCTTGGCACCTTGGGTCATCATGCATTGAAATGCGTGATTGGTGGTCCGAGGGTCGAGAGCCATACTCCCTTGAGTTCATAGTATGATAGGGAGGGTGGTCGTGCACACATTGTCTTGTAAATGCCCTACCATGCACTGTATGTCCTCTGCTGTTGCAAAAACAGAATTCTGCAGGAAGATATGGCCGGTCGGCCATATTCAGTGCCGGCCGGCTAACTTAACCTGGCCGAGAGCTCCACTTTTGGTCGATGATCATGTTCCCATGGCCAGTGACTTTATATCATGGCCGGTGACCTCCCACAGTGCTCAGGGAGTGTTTCAGAAGCATCCCAAGGATTTTCACAATTTTCAGATTTGCAAAACAGTGCAAACAGAGGCAACATGTGGCATGGCAACGGGTTTCCAAGCGAGGCGATCGAGCATGCATCATTCAATCATTCTGAGGTGGAGCTACGGCGGCCTCCTTTTTTGTAATTAATTTGTTAATTAATTAAGGGTTTGTAATAATTAATTACCTAGGATAGTTAATTAATCATTCGGGTTTGTATTATTTATTTGGACCCTCCGTCGAGAGGGCGAATTTGTAATAAGTGTGCGTGCGTGTGTGAATGTCTTCCAACCCCACGTCTTTCTCCCTTTTACTAACCTGCT